GGCGTGGCTCAGTGGTTGAGCACTGACCAGAAGCTCACAGTTCCATTCCCAGTCAGGGAACATGCCTGCATTGCATGCTCAATCCCTAGTGTGGGGCATGCAGGAGGCAGCATGATTTTCTCTCATCATTGATGTTTCTCTCTCTCTTTCTCTCTGTTTCTTTCCCTTCCTCTCTGAAATCAATAAAAATGTATTTAAAACAATGCAGTGCCATGATAAACCTTAAAATGAGAAATATAATTTGAAGGAGAGAATTTCAGTAACAGTGTCCATAACGAACCATGTTGAGGAAAACCTGGGAGGGGAGTTGGATGAAAATTCTTGACTCAGCCAAGTATACACAGCCTAGAGGAAGCTGCAAAGACAGAAAGAAAGAAAGAAAGAAAGAAAGAAAGAAAGAAAGAAAGAAAGAAAGAAAGAAAGAAAGAAAGAAAGAAAGAAAGAAAGAAAGAAAGAAAGAAAGAAAGAAAGAAAAATACAGCTTTTGGAACCCCTTTTCTTCTAAAATGAATTCATTTATAAATTGTTACTTTCTAAACCATATTAAATTTCTTTTTCTGATTTCAAGCCCTCACTGGCCTTTGCTTTCCCATCAGCCACCAGTAACTCCTGCCTCCTTCCCACCAACAGACCCACCAGCTAATCTTTTTCTCATCATCTTCCCTCTCCTTCAGCTTTGTTATGTTATGTATTATTCAACTTAAACATTATAATGTATTTGTTATCATTCAACTTATTATATATTTATTTATTATTCAGCTTCATTATTATCCAACTTATTTTCAACCTAATCTTTTTATGTATTATTCTGCCTCTTCAGGGCACAATGGATTGTGAAAAGCATGACATTTGTTTTTCTTCACAGCAAAGGTCACTTAAAACCCTCTCTCCTATATATTTATTCCTCAAACATTTTTTCCTATAGCATATGAGTGCATTAAAAATAGAAACGATATCATCTTTCAGTTTGGCATGAGGTCTATTAGACTGCAGACATTCAAAATAAAATTAAAATAAAAACAATACTGGTTTGATTTATGATTAAAATGCAATAGCTAGAAACACTACCCATATTTCTCTCAGATAATTGACCTTTTATTTTTATTCCCTCTTCTGCCCAGAAAGTTTTTTTTTTCTTTCTCATTGAGGGGAGGGTTTAATTTGTGTCCTCCGAAGTACTTAGCATAGTGACTTGAATGTTCTGTGCACCAGTATATCTTTACTGACTAATGGGCTCCAAATTAATTTTATTTAATGCGGAAACAAAGGAAGTTAAGCCTACTTTCCAATACTAACATTCTTTATTTTTTAAAAATTGTTTCAGTCTGGCCAGTGGACCATCTCATTATTATTGCAAGTTCATTTTTTTGGTTTTTTTAAAGGAGGAGCTGATTCATAGTCCCTTTTACACATGGAGAGTGATTTTTGTTCTGTTTCTGCTGCATTGGCCGCTATAATTTTTCTGTGTGCTCTGAACATGAAGGTGCATACCGAAAAGAAAACCAGAAATATAAACTGACCTATAATAATTACTTAATACAACAAAGTGTATCATTTTCACTAAGCAAATGTGAAGGCTTTATTTTTCAAAAATTACATATCCTCCTAAATCTCTGTACAAACACCCTTGATTTATGTGCCCTTTACGAAAAGATATTAGTACTTATGTGAATTTGGCTGGGCTTAATAAAAATTCTGATAGAGTTACAGTAGCAATAGCTCTGGTTGATCTTCTCCAGAAATGACATAACTGAAATTAAACTTACTCTGCTTCCCAAGTGCTGGGCATATTTAATTGTTTTTAAATGTACAGAACATGCTTTATTATTTACGCAAGGGACCAAGATGTATAGTGAATGCTTTATTATTTACAGGAGGGAGTCTGTAGAAACTGATTCACATAAGTTAATTGTATTTGAAATGTTTATTTAAGCATAAGTAAAGCAATAGAAAGTTACCAGTTTTTTCTTTCTTTTTTTTTCCTAAGAGTTCATTTTAAATAAAAATTTGGGAGGGAAAGTTATTACATCGTCTATATTTAAAATAGAGGATGAAATTGAGGTTTTTCAGCCTCAAACATTGTATATGCCAATGATCACCTTTGATCTGGTCAAAACGCATATTTTTGTAGTATTGCCTTTTCAAATCATATAGCTATTTTTGGCATTTTGAAAGTAAGTTAGCTGAAATGAAATTTCTTTATTTTTAAATTATTTTAAAACATATTCTCTTTTTTTGTAACTGCATTTAATTGCTATAGTTTCATTAACAATTTCTTTTTTTTTTTTTAACTCCGATATAAAAAAATGGTTCACTTTCTCATCAAAGTTCTGATAGGTTAGTGATAGCCAGTTAGTCACAGATTATAGCTTATGGCTACACATACACCCATCATTTTTTTAATAAATTGTGATCTCTACTGTTTATTCAGTAGCACATCCACCTTTAATTTCAGCAGCATATACATTCTTTAACATTCATTGTGCTGAAAACACATATTTAACTTTATTAGATGTTTTTACCAGAGTTTAGGTAATTTTTCAAATGATAAATTATACGATATGAGTTTCTTATACTAATAGTACCTACCATGTAGTCTTTTATCTTTTATGTTAAAATGTATTAATTAAAAATGCCTATTATATAAAAACATAATGTGTGATGAAATTTGGGTTTTTTTTCTTATAGTAAAAGTTTATTTTTTAGAGATACAAACTGAAATATTTATAGGTGAAATCATACGATCCCTAGGAATTGCTTTAAAGTAATACAGGAAGATACATGGGGTAAAGGTAAAATGAGATTGATTGGCTGTGTGTTGCTAATTAAAGTGGGTGGTGACCACATGAGTGTCCATTACTATTCTACTTGTATATGTATTATTTTTGATAATAAAAATATAAGTTTTATAACTTACATTATTTTTAGAATATTTCCTCTACATTTATAATGCTGTTAAAAATCAACAGTATTCCAGGTATTGAAACAGGGCCCATATCTCTGACCAAACTGGAGTTTTCTCCTGAATCCCTTAATGTAATTAAATTTTTATTCACCTAAGATGATGACCTTCTACATCAGTTATTAATTGAATTGGATTAAGTCTTTTCATCATCTATGACAGTTATGTTCAAACTTTTTCATCTCCTGGCACACATAAGCTAACTTACTAAAATTCCTCAGCACATCAAATCATTTATTTTTTGTCTATCTGACAAAAAAAAAGTGGGTATAGTTTTGATTCATTCACATGGATGGCAACTGTTGTGTTGGTTGTTGTCATTTTTTATTTGACAACCTGAGGGAAAAGAGGTCTGTGCCCCTGACTAAATAATTAGGTATTGCATGTTTTAATAATACTTGCAGCACACAGGTTGAGAATAGCTGATCTATGGCATTAGCTCTGTTGCCTCTCTAATTTCAAATTTTCATGATCTATCTTTGGGCAGTATTAAATATTTGTGAAATGAGTGAGTGAATGAATGAATGCATCCCTGAATACTTCTCCTAATATGGCACCTTTTACACTGTTTCGTAATTCCTTTTCACTCGTCCATAGCCCTTTACTAATAGTAGAATCTGCACCCCACTAATAGTAACATCTACTCAGTTTCTACTGTTAGGTCCTCAGCAACTAGCACAGTGTCAGGAATGAATTAGTCCTTCAATAAATATTTATGAATGAAGATATTAATTAATCTATATTCTTACACTGTCTCCATGATTGCTATCTCCATTTTGGCTAATTCATTCTCCATGTTGTTTCTGGACAGATTGCTCTAAGCTCTCAATGTGATCACAGCTCACCCATTAATAGCTTTCCCTCATCAGGGTAAGCATTCCAGACATTTATATACAAAACCCATGGCCCCTTAGCATGTGGGTCTTGCCAGCAACTCACTTCGTTCCTTTGTCTCTGTACTTTACCCCATAGACTATTTGTACTCCTTGTGTGTTTTATGGCCCCCTTCCTCGGAACATGATTTCTCTCTGAGGACGTCATTCCCATCCACATTTAAAAAATATATTTTTTATTGATTTCAGAAAGGAAAGGAGAGGGAGAGATAGAAACATCAATAATAAGAGAGAATCATTGATCAGCAGCCTCCTGCATCCCTCCTCCACACCACTGGGAATCGAGCCCACACCTTGAACTGTGACCTTGTGGTTCATAGATCAACGGTCAACCACTGAGCCACTCCAGCCGGACCCCACCCATATTTTAAGCCAGGTGCCCTTGGGGCGCCTTTTCTAAGTTGGGAGGCTCAGGTGATCACTGCCCTGTGCAGCGGGGAGGAGAAGTAGTCACAAGTACCACCTCTGCTCCCAACACACTGACTCCCTCTGAACTGCTGACCACTGTTTCCTTCCTTTCATTTTTCTCTCCATGGACACAGAGCATCCCTCCAGCAGCCATTGCTTTTTATTCCCCTTAACATCCTTACTTTACTTGGCAGAGAGGAACCTAATAAATATTTGCAGAATGAGCAAATGAAGAAATTTTTTTTTCTTTTTTGCTATACAAGTAATGAGTTTTCCATAAAAGATGTTAAATCAATAATATACTTACCAGTGCACCCAAAGGTTGTTTCTCACATTTGCACCAGGTTTGTCTCTATTTTTTTCCATGGTGTCGTCAGCAAGTCAAAAGACAAACCCCAGAATCGTATAAATCTAAGAATAAAATGCTGAGGTTGAAAAAAGACCTTGAAGTGAACCAAGGGACCAATGGAAACATGATATTTAGTTTTTCAGAAGTTGAAGATTTGCTTACTAGTAGGAGTCATTCTGGTGATAATTCTAAGGAGGCAATGGAGATAGTTTCTGACACATATTTCAAAGCTCCAACATAACTGGACTTTTGACCCTCAATGTATACTTTGTAAAAGAGCCAACCTCACAAAAACAATAAAATGTTGGGAGTCAGATCTATTGTGTTAAGATGAGCCTTATAGCTTAAGAAAGTCCTAACGTGTGGGTTTCCCCCTCTTCCTTTGCAGATATGTCGTCTCCGACTACTATGAAGAAGCCTGAAAAGCCATTGTTCAGCTCTACATCTCCACAAGATTCTTCCCCAAGGTTGAGCACTTTCCCCCAGCACCATCACCCTGGGATACCTGGAGTTGCACACAGTGGTGAGGAATTTTAAGCATTGAGGAGAAGCCTCCCTTTTATTTGCAGAACCCCAAGCCCTCAGGGATGGAGCACAGTGTTTTGTTTGTTTGTTTGTTTGTTTTTGTTTTTTTAATTATAGCTAGTGGTGGCCATATTATCTCAACCCAAAGAGGGAGGGTCATAATCCGATCAAATATTTTTTCTTATTATTAATATATGAGGAAAGATGGTCAAAGCCATTCAATGAAATAACATTTATCCATGTATCTATCAGTTGCCTTTATTGGAAAGATTATAATGACAAGAAATTAGAAAATATGATCAATTAGAAAACATGGTCATCTTAACGATAGCTTCAGGGTCTGTCTTAATTAATCAGGAAAAATAAAAGAGATACTTTGATAATTATTTTATATGCACAGATTCTGTGAGTTAATACACTTATTGTTTCATCTAATTTAAAGACTTCCTAATTTAAATAGGAAAAAGAATCCAACATTTTATATCTGCACTTTAAGGATCAGTTAATATTAAGTTACCTTTAATATTAAAAATGAGGTATAAATAATAATCAATATAAATAAGAAATGACCTTCAAGTTTGTGTACAGATGTGAGTGAAGACCATGGTTAAGCTGAGCTGAGATTAAGAGCACTTTGACATGAAATGCAAAGATGTCCAGTCTAGTTTAGGTATTTGAATTTCCCTACATTATACTTTCAAACGTGTAGACTTCTTAAATAATGTGATACTTTAATGAGGAGTTTTAAAAAATATGTAAGTACTATTGGCCCGGCACATGCAATTCGTGTACCTGGTGTGTGTGTGGGGATGTCCCTCAGCCTGGCCTGTATCTTCTTGCAGTCCAGGAGCCCTCAGGGGATATCTGACTGCCAGATTAGGCCCTGGGATGCAGGCCTAAGCAAGTAGTCGTACATCCTTAGCATGGCTACAGAGGTGGGAGAGACTCCCACCACTGCACTGCACTGCCCTGACCAGCCATGAGCCTGGCTTCTGGCTGAGTGGCGCTCTCCCTATGGGAGTGCACTGACCATCAGAGGGCAGCTCGTGCATTGAGTGTCTGCCCTTGGTGGTCAGTGCATGTCATAGCGAGCATCCTTAGCATATCATTAGCATGTTATGCTTTGATTGGTTGAATGGACAGCCAGATGACTGGACACTTAGCATATTAGGCTTTTATTATATAGGATTCTCTGCAATGCTTCCCTTTGGTGGAGGATGCTCAGCCTTCGATGTGTGGGAAGATTACACAGGCCCTTGTTTCAGTGCCCTTTCTGCTGCCTCCCAACCTGGAAATCCTCATTTAGAAGGTCTGTGGTTAGGCCTAGTAACCTTCATTGTAACAACAAATGTAGAAAGATTGTGAGATCACATAATGCCCTGGACATTATTGGGGAAGATAAGCAACATCCCTTAAAACATTTCTTTTTCTTTTTCTTTCTTTCTTTTTTTTTTATTTAATATTTTGCTCATAATTACAAAGTCAGAGGTAATCTATTCCAGATGATTTTCATTTATAGGTCATGGAAAGAATTTTTTCTTCTTCATATTGTTTGCTACATTGTCTCATAAAACGCTAAACATTTTTCATATGTGATTTCCTATGGTTTGGATCAAAATATTAAATAGAAACAGATAGTTAATCTTCACTTCTGCATACATTATACTGGTTGGTTCTCTTAATTTGTACATACATGATTGTTTTTATGTTACAGAGATAATGATCATGCGATTATATTCTTTTCCCATTTTTCAAACATAAGGCTTATTTTTTCAGAAGCTAAACAAGAAATTGTGGTCATACTAATGTTGAAAAGTTACAGTACAATTAAACATTTCCCACATTGAATGTTTTACATATTATTTCCCTTTATAAAATATGTGATTTATGGGTAAATTTATGTCTCTATGAAAGTATAAATGTACATTTCTGTGGGTCTTATTTTTGGTCTTATCTTAAAATCTTTTAAGCCACATGTTGTAAAAATTAGAGTGGGAAGAAAAATATTTAAAGTATAGGGCTTCTTTTGGTTATGAAAGAAACATTTTTATTAGGAGAAAGAGCTCCCAGGCTCTATATACAAATATTCATAAGTACTTAATACAATGATAGGGTCATTATTCAGGACATCGTTGTTTATTAATTATGGGTTTTCATTTTAGTCAACTACCAGCTAGTATGCATAGAGAAAGTATGCATTCACAATTGGATTACACTTCTGTTTTGAATTTTGGTAGAAAATTGTGGCTCCCTTGCCCTCTAATTGATGCTGTGACTTGGTCTGGACTTATATAAGACAAAGACTTCCTAACCAAAATTGTGCTCTGATGGGGGATAACTTTGCTTAAAGAAATGTTTTTTGAAGTATCGGCTTAACCTATGAAAGAGAAACTTCTTTTTAAATCATTCACAGATCTAGAAAGCAAGATTGTTAATTTCCTATAGTGAGGGCTGTGTCTGTGTACGCTTAGCAGTTCTGGCATTCAGAATAAGAGACTAACTGCTATTTTAGGAGCATTTGGTTAAATCGTGAGGGGAAAATGAATAACTATCATTTTTATCGTTTCACAGCCATGCTTTAGGATCAGTACGGAGCATTAAAGAAAACAGCTAACGAGTCTGTCTTTCCTTTTCTGTCTTCTACAGTCATCTCAACTCGAACTCCACCTCCACCCTCACCGTTGCCATTTCCAACACAAGCTATTCTCCCTCCAGCCCCATCGAGCTACTTTTCTCATCCAACAATCAGATATCCTCCCCACCTGAATCCTCAGGATACTCTGAAGAACTATGTACCTTCTTATGACCCATCCAGTCCGCAAACCAGCCAGGTAAAAATGAGAGAGAAACTAAGATTAGAGCCTAAGGGAGATGGAGCAGGTGTGAGAGATGGCGCTTAACCCAGGCAGTTCTGTCTGGCAGAACAACAAGCTTTTGCCATCCGTCTTCGGGAAGTGTTTTGGTGACGCAATGTGTTTTTATTTAAAGGTGGCTGAATGACAGGTAGGAAGTGTGTTGCCCCCAAGGAGCACATTTGTGAAGGTGTTTTTGGTCTGGTGTTTTGGGATTTTTATTGACTGAAGAGAAAGCTTATGCAGAAAGTCCATTGACAAAAAAAAAAAAAAAAAAAAAAAAAAGTTCTGAGCGGGAGTTCACACCTCTGAAATACCTGGTTTGACAAAGAGACAAAACGCTTATTCCAGGCAGGAGCAAGGTATGCACTAAAATAAACACACACAAAAGAACTTACAGTTGTATTCATAGACTAACTATTAGGTATTAAAATAAGCTTTGGTAATGTAAACATTCTCCGTGTTTGATGACTACTTGAATATTCTTTGCACAGACATGACTGCATTTAATAATGAGTGACATTACCAGAAGTGTCTTTTTTTTTTTTTTTTTTTTTGTAAACATTGTGCAGTGGTTTTAGGGATTCATTGTATGAGTGTAGTGACTCATGTGCCTTCCTCACTTCCTAAACATGTGGTTTCTTCTGTGAGCAGTCACTCCATAGAAATTTGGTATAAGAACGTTTTCCACAGTCAAGTAAACAGTCTTTGTGCCAAAGCTGGATCTGTCAATAATCATCATGTCCCAAGTCTGTCATGCGATTCTGATCGTAGGGTCCGGTGTGTAGCTTTGCTGCTTTACCCTGAAGACTCCTTAGTATACCTTTTAATGCTCTGAGGGATTCGTAAGCATCCTGTTAGTAATGCTTAAATATCCTGTTCAAATCTTAAAATGCCACTACATAGTATGTGCATATTGATTTATATTTAACAAAGAAAGATCTAAGAAATAATCCTTAGACTTCATGTAATGGTTAAAAAAGAAGCAAAATGTCCCTTTCTGAATGTTTTATTTTGAATAACAACATGACCCGCACCATGGGGATGACTTAAAAAGTTACCTGTCCTTTATCTCCATTGATTAATAATACTAAGCTGAATATACCATTTCTCAAATTTTGAATTTGAAGTTAAACTATTTGTATTTTAGAAGAAGATGTCCAAATCTTGCACTTTTAATGGCAGTCATACTACTTACTAAGCAACACAGTGGGATCTTAGTATACTAGTTCAGAAATACAATTTGCTGTGAGAGCATGGATCCCAAGTCTCAGTTCCATAGAGCCTTCTGCCAGACTCAGCTGGGAACAGTGCACACAAGGTCTGATTTTAATTTGTGTAGAATTTCCATGAATAACAAAGTCTAATTAAGACATCCATTAAAAGTCCTTAACGTTAATTCAGTGTGGAAAATCTTAGAGTTCCATTGGATTTTTTTTTTTTTTAACTGATGTCTTAATTAGGTGCTGTTACGGGGAAATTATGCAAATTAAAATCAGGCCCTTCGTGTCACGCATTTCTTTAATTATTCAGTGCTTGTTTTACGTATATTTCAATTTCTTTATAAGTTGAGAGTGCGTATTAGGTAATAATCTGCCTATATTGTTCTCAGTGTTTCTTCATATTTTCAAGGTAAAGATCCAGCTTCTAAGAGAAGCATCTTACTCTCATCTCAATTAACAACAACAACAAAAAAAACCCTCTCAGGATTTTGTATAATAGGAGCAGTGGACTAAGTAGGATAATCCTTTCCTAATGCTGTTCAAGTTCATCTTCAGATGAGATGTCTTTTCATATCTACAGTATGAAAGTTCATCTATTAGCGGCGTTAAAAGAGGCGCTTTCTAGTCTAGCTTCATCTGTTTGAACTAGTAGAAGACTGAAAAGAAATAACCCTCTCATTCTTCTGACTCGAAGTTTTAGAAAGTTGACTGGGTTGGCTTGGGAGTTCTTTCTTTGTCAGGTTTACTATTATTTTTAAATGACACGTCTGTCGGTTCCTGTCGATTGAACTTCAGTAGACAGAGCTTGCAGAATGGGCAAGGTGATGTGCTCTGTCACAGCCTTCCCTTGACCTTATTGCCACTCTCCTGTCCCGTGCTCTCAGGTAGGTACTGCCCAGCGGTGCTGATGAGCACAGTATCTGCAAATGCTTTTTTTTTTTTTTTACCACTGAAAGGACCAGCAGTGATACTTTGAGACTGTATAGAAAGGGAGGAGATAGAGAAAGCAGGCCTTTGCAGTGTTCAGAATATCGGAAGTAGACAGTCTGCTTTAGAAATAAACTTTTCCCTGTGAAAGGAAAAATGGGTCTTTACAATAAACAGCAGATTTTTTTTTTGAAGAGATATTTTATCTGCTTTGATGTTTAACTCCACCTCAAAACCAATTAATTTACATTTCAAAGTAGACTCTTGATATTAACCTTTGTAGCTCTAAAAATGGAAAAGAAAAAAAAAAAAGTACTGTTCACCTGCAGGCATGTCCTCTGAGTATCTTATAGTACTGCACTGATTTTTAAGATGCTCTGTCCTCCCCATAGCAATTTGGGGATTCATTACATTGCTGCTGCAACCAATTAGAGTGAGACAATCATGCTATTTAATGGAATATTTTAAATAAAATTAGTTTAAATATATGTCTCATAGGCTTTCGTAGGGAGAAACTTTGGTCAGTTTTCCTGACACAAAGTTAAATACTTAAAATCATTCGTGATGAATAGTCAGGATATTTGAGTTCATTTTCTTTATGGAATAAATAACATGGCCTCTGAAGAATCTGACCGGAGCTCTGGCTCATGTCTCAATGAGTTCCAATATTTAAATGTTATGAGCTAGTCCTCTTTTTCTCTAAAATGTCTACTTGTAACTTACGTGCAGGTATTTAGATAAATATTCTGCTTCATTGCTTTCTTTGCTTTTAGCAGTGCAGATTATTAAGATTAATCATTTGTAGAGAATACCCTCAAAGCAAATTGTTATGTACACTATGCCGTGGAGAATTCCAACACGAATGTTAATTAAAAACAGTATTCTCTGTCTAGAAAAATACATCCAAGTATTTCTTCAAGCAGTGTACCTTTAGAATTTTGTCTTCTACCCACATTCTATTTTTGTACCCAGGGCTAAAGCACAGATAATAATATCTTTTCTGTCATTGCCCTAGGGATTTTCTCAGTTCATTCCCACAACTGTCAACAATACATGTTTTGTGTAACTCTCCATGCCCAACAATGGAAGAGTAACTCAAATAACAGAGTATATTTGATTAACCCCTCTGCTTGACTTTAGCACATTTTCATTTACTACGGTAATCTTTTATTTGGAGGTATAAGGCCAGACCTAACTCAGCATTTTATATCATTGTATGGATCTGGAATTTTAAATGCTCTAAATATCATTCTACCTGCTTATATTTGTAAATCATCAAAAGTTGAGGGGAGATCCTAGAATCTAAATTGCCTGGTGTGTGTCTGTGTGTGTCTGTGTGTAACTGTGTGTGAGCAAGAATTAGGGATTTTGAATGCAGAAGAATGGGTCTTGACTATACATGATAGAAATTACTCAGTTTGATGTGTGTGATAGCGTAGATATTCTTGGCTTCCTTGTGTCAGTGATATTATTATTGAGGTGAAAATTGTGTCCTGAAAGCCCAAACTGATTCAGTGTAGAAGATGAGGGGCAGAGAAGCGCTGGTTCTAATTTGCACTAGCTCAGTAAGGACTTCCATTTCCGCCTTGGGCTAACCACTGAAGTCTTCACTGGAGCTTCTGGGACTACTAAATGAAGGTCAGTTCTACTTGGCTCTTGGGAGTGTTGTAAAGACAGTTCACCTACATAAAATGAGTGCTTTGAAGGCGAGGACTTTCTTTTAAATGCTGCTGCTTCGTATTACTACTAACCATTGACCGACCTCTCGGATTACACAACGGTGTGCAGGGCCTGCTCGGCCAAGTGTGCTGAGTGTCGTTGTAGGACGCCATGACTGCCTTTTGCCTTTTGGATTGTTTCACCCGGCATTCTGTTTTTGTTTTGTAGCCTAACAGCAGTGGTCAAGTGGTAGGGAAAGTGCCTGGCCATTTCACTCCTGTCTTGGCACCCTCTCCCCATCCCAGTGCAGTGCGACCTGTGACCCTGACCATGACAGATACTAAACCCATCACTACATCCACTGAAGGTGAGGCAGCTTCACCTACAGCAACCAGTAAGTATTATGGTAGGAAATGAGAAATGTCCATCAAAGGCACCATTGGATACCTGATCCAAGGTGGGAAATACGGCAACTTTTCCAGCTACCCAACCGGATGGAGATTTCTCATTTACATGGAACCAGCAGGCATGTACGTGGCGTGGCAATCGCACGCTCTCTCCTTTCAAATTTAAGCCAGTGCCTCAGATTTGAAAAGGGAGAAGCTTAATTGTTTGAGTAAATAGCTATAACAAATAAACAAACAAAAAAGAATAAGTCATGCCTGCTTGTTCAAGGTTTACATCGAAAATGCACTGATAACATAAGGCAGTGTACATGGTTTTTCTATCACCCAAAGAGAGACTAGAGTGTTACTCATTGGAGCATTCCTATAGTAACCAAGCCCCTTCACACGGCAGACTGAATCAGTGCCTCTGTAAGATAATTGCACGTTTAGATTACTGTAGGTTATGTCATTGTGAGAAATGTTTCACATACTGTTAGGTCCCAAAAACATCTCAAAGCTTCGTATTAAGCAAATGTAAGCTACCCGTGCTTTCTTTGCCCTCAACAACAACAACAACAACAACAACAACAACCACAACAAAATTAAAAATTTTAAATCTATCATAATACATCAGGTATAAGTTTTTTAGCAGGCTCTTCACATTTTAAATGTCAGAGAGTTAGCCAGTGAGCTTACATAGCATATACCAGTAGCTCAAATGATTCCTTTGCTTCTTTGCATGGAATACTCATAACTACACAAGGAATTATTGCACAGTTTTTCAACTGGCTTTCTCCAGACTGGCAGCTTTCTAGACTTGGAGTTGCTATGCACACATTGGTAGAATGGAAGGAATAAAGTTCCAGTCAGGAGGAATCAGCAAGTTCCTCATCCGTTACACATGCCGTATCTTAAATTCAGAGCTTCTTACCTAGAACAGGAAAGTCCCCCATGCTCTGGAAATTCCTGTGTGAAATTACAGAGCACTAGAGGCACCACTGGCTCTTTCTTCTTTTGCCATTGGAAAACCTTTCCTTTTTTAATGGTTTCTGAAACCTAGGAAGGCCCCTACAAGAAAATTGGACAATATTTTGAGTCGCCAGTGAATTCAGCATTTCCTTCTCAAAATTCATGAGGCCTCAGAAACTAATAAGTTCATATAGGCAATTTTTCAGGCACTTTTTCATAATTCCCATCAATAATAGTTAAATGCTTAGTAACTGGTTTGCTGGTAGAGAATCCTCCACTAGTGAACACTTTCCAGAATGTACAGAAGGCTCAGTATTCTTTTGTTCTGAAGGTTAGCTGTGTACAGTATAGTCACTAGAATAATACATCCAGATTTTAAAAGTGGATGCTTTAGCCTCTTTGAACAAACAGGCCAGAAATTTAAATAAACAAAAATGGAAAAGAAATATTTTTGTAAAAGCACTTGGAAGAATATCACAGGATATAAATGATCAAAACTAAGTTCCAGAAACTTCTGGTACCTACTCATACCAGAGTAGGTATTATTAATATTAGTTATATTAATAAATGAGATTCCAGGAGCATTCAGACCCAAATGATGGCAGCTCACTTAGGGGAGTACAGTCAATCTGTTTGTTAATTGATCGTTCTTATACTCACATACAGGTTGATAAAAAAAAAAAAAAAGATCTGATTTGACTAATAAAAAATTACAGAATATTCAAAAGACCCCACCAGTCTATTTTACACTCTTGCATTAAAGAAGTAGAGTGTGATATTTTTCTTTCTTAGAAATACATTGTAACTCCAGCTTCCCAGGCACCACTCACCATGAGAAATTGGTCATTGAATTGATAACTCAATCCAGTTAAAGGTAGCAGAGAGGACAAGGAAACCTCCTTCTCATGGCTGAAAAGAACACGGAGCACAGGCTGGTGAGGCATGGCTGACCCACTGTGCGCCGATCCAGAGACCTGGATCCTCACTAGGGGCAACTGGCTTCATATGGCTGCCCTCACACGGGCTCTTTATCCAGGAATAATTGAAAGGTGAATTGTGGTCATCTTCACTATTCAAAAAGTTGACCTAAAAATGCCTAAATAAATCAAATTCTGCAGTCCTTCTAATGAACATGACAGAATGAAATATATTGGTGTGTTTTTTTTAAAGCCTTGTAAAAAGGAATGTCTGGATTCCTCATTAATCTGATGGTTTTTACCGAACATCTTAGTTTTTTCCAGACCTATAAATGTAATATAAATGGTGAAAATTTAGTTGTTCTTCTGGTCAGCCTGACAGGGAGCAATGGGATTGCTAGAGATACATCAATTCTTTCCTTGTGTAAAAGAAACAAAAATATTTAGGAATAGGCAGATTGTTTTTTTAGGGACAATTCACTCTATACCCAATAGCACCTGTACAAAGAGTATTGCAATGTGAGACTTAAAATTTGAGGAGTATTCGCCATATGTATTTATTATTTGGTGGCCATGTATTTTACAAGTTGCCATCAATTCCAGTCACAAGAAACAGACTTGTGCTTATGGAAAATAGAGAATTAAAACACACACACATTTCTATCAAACTTAAGATCATTTTCACCTTAAATGACACCCTGAGCTAATTCCTTCTATATGATATAATAAAAATAGTCTTCTCCACATTAGTAATGGTAGAGTTCATTTTAGTGAGACTTATAAGTAAGACATTTTTCTTCTCGTATCACAAGCACACCTGCTTGCATCCAATCATTAAAAGCTCCCACTCATTCCTGACAGATTTTTCAGTCTGCTTTTACACTTAGAATCAGCGATCAGCATCGATCATCCCATTATTAGACAATCAATACCTGGGGAAAAGGCCCACCTAGACAAAGAGCCCCCTATTCAGCCAGTCCTTGGTTCTCTGGCAATACTAGATGGGGCACATACATGTGAGATGCCCATGCTGAACCAGGGGATACCATTTACCATATTTTCCGGCGTATAAGATGATCCCCCCTAATTTTACAGTTAAAACATAGGTTTAGGCCTATATTCACTATATAAGACTACCCCCCACTTCTGAGGCAACACCAGTTCTTTTTTTAATAGACCGCCTCTCTGACTCTGGCCAATCTGAGCAGGCTTTTTTTCGTTTCAAAAGTCGTCTTATACGCCGGAAAATACGGTATTGGATAGCTTTTTGGGGCAGGGGATAAAGTAATTGCTTGAGAGGCCAGCTCCCATCTCCTGTATGTCACTCAGTGTTCCCTCAGACAAAAGAGAAGAGAGACAGAGACACCTCTCTCTTTGTTTTTTGTTTTTTTTTTTTTTGGTTGCAAGTCCCACTCCTCTGGGTTTCTTGTACATGGACAGGGTGTTCGTTCTGCTAGTTCACCATTTTTATCTTTGTTTTTGTTCTTCCTTAATCAGCCTACACAGCCTCAGGCACATCTCAAGCCAATCGATATGTGGGACTAAGCCCAAGAGACCCATCCTTCCTACATCAGCAACAGGTGGGCAAGTTTCCCCCAGGTGTGATGGTGTAGCCATGCTTCCGCATTGGTGCTTTTCTCCATGCTCTCTCCGATCTGGACTCAGGACGGGGCTCCTGGGGCTTCTGAGAAAGAAATTGATCCTTTCACTTTCCAAATCATTTTCTCATTCATCCTTTGTTTCTTGCCTCTCGGAACAGGGTTTCTCAAATTGGCTCAACACCCTTTTCATCCCTGTAAGAATAACAGTATTTCAGGCAAATGGTAGTTTTCTTAGTCTTTGCTGGCTGATGAGAAGGCACTAGCCTATGGTCTCCAAAGATAACATTTAAAACTGATTCAAAAGCCAATTAGAGTCGAAGTAGTACACAATTTGTGTTTTCAAACCCTTTCATATTTTCCAGATGTTTCGCGGTCCCTCCCCCCAATTTTGGCATTTTAGTCCAAGAAGACGAGTTATGAAGCTAAAATCTCAGGCGACACATCATTCCTATTTTAATAGGTTTAAATTGGTTTACTGATTTCAGATGTGATAAAACACTTCTTTTTTCCCCCCCTTGCTTTCTTACATCATTTATGTTTCAAGTAGCATTTTAAATTTCACATCTCATTAATGCTGTAAATTTAATGCAAATGAAGTGTTTACCCAGACTATGAAAATATACAGCCAGGATTAATGGTGGCTTATAAACAAATTAGCCACAATCAAAAAGCATGGACCATACCCACACAGACATCCCACGATCTAGTTATAGGATAACGGAAATCATTCTAACCACTTCAGAATTAAAATATATTTTATGATGCATATGTTTGCTGCGCTCAAGTTTTTGATAGCAGAGCAGTTTGAAATTAACGGTGTACAAAATATTACGTAGGAAAAAGTGGGCCATAAATGATAAGCTGGTACTAACTAGCCTGGTCTTCGTGTAAAAGTTGTATGTGCACACGTGTGAGTTTTTACATACGTAGGAAGACTGCACAGAAACTCATTCTGGTTCCTTTTGATCTAGACCTGTCCACCTAGCTTCTGCTTATCGTGCCTGACTTCACTTTGCTTCTTTGACATTCCCAAGACCTGCCCAGTTGTAGACTAAGGTGCCAGACTGCATATTAAAGGTCACCCCATGCAGAGTTCAGAGAAAATCATAAAGATGATAGCTTATTTAAGATACTTGACGTTTTGCCAGGTTTAAAAAAAAAAAAAGCAAAACAAAACAAAACAAAAGAGTGAGGACTAACTGAAAACATCTGTACACAGTTATGAAAATACCAAGTAATAATTAGTGGTTTTGCCAGCCATTGGCTTTCCAACATCATTCTCTGGAATGCTGCTTTTTTTCACCTCCAGAATTGCTATAATATGAAATGTGTTTTAATTACTATAATATGGTTCTATTTGACAAATGTATATGTTCATTATGTTTTTTTTTTAAATGCAGGATTTATAGGTTTAAAACTTGTTCTTTAAAAAATCATTCCACATATTTTCAGAAATATTTTTGTCATGGGATTTGCATTATTCTTTATAACACATCTCTAATTTCCAGTTAATTTTTAATTCAGAGGAATGTGCCTCCATTATTTAAACCTTTGGCCATAAACACATTTAGAATATTATAATCAATTCCATGTACTTAGAAACAATTTTCCCCTCCCCCTGCCCTAACCTATGGAAGTTTTAATTCTTTTATTATTTATGATTAACATTGGAGCCTCATGTAATTATAATCAAAAGTTCATTATATATATGTTACAGCTCCTTTCACATATACAAGGATAAATCAAGAATACTTAGCATGAAAACATGAGTCTAAATGTAGAGCACATTTTAATTGAATATATATATATATATATATATATATATATATATATATGAGTTCCAGAACTTTTTTCATCAAAGACCACCAACTTGTTATTTAAGAGGAAGTGTCAAGTAAGACCCCTTACAATATAAGTATGATTTGTCTGATCTAAGGAATATGTAATGTGTTGATCCTTGGAAGAAAAAACGATATAAGCTTCAATTATAAGCTAAAACTATAATGTTCAATTGTATATACCACTCAGGTAATTTGTTCTCTGTTTATTGAAGGAGCTAGTGCTTTTTGGATTGGCGAAGCTCAATATACCAAATTCACATGAGCTACAATTTTGAGGCATGAAGAAAATGGATGTATATGCCTATACATGTATATTATTAAATGAAGGCTCCAGTTAAAACGCTTATTATTTTTATCCTTTCAAATTTGAAAAGAATCAGAGATGAAGTTTTATGTTTACTATCCAGGAACAAGAGAGACAAAAATAGTCTAAATGACTTCAGTAGAGTAAAGGTTATTCTCTTCTACAGGAGAAATGAGATTGATTTACTGTGTCCTTTCATTACTTTACAAAGATTTAAAAGAGACCACTCTTCTAGCAGCAGGTTCTAAATGCATTTGGTTTAAAGTACTCAATGATGAATGAAAAGGAAAATCAAGGGGTACATGAAATAAAGGTAATCAATCATTTTATATTAGCTAAGAGAAATTCAAAATTAGAAAAGCAATGGTTTTAGTCTGAGAGGGTTCTTTTAAACATTCCGCATAGCCTTTAGTATACATGACCTCTTAAAAATAAATACTGTCACCAGGTACATTCTTCAGTTCATTGGCAGCTGCTTTATAAAGATTTATCCTTTTAGATTATGAAAAGTATTGATGTGCATTGTCGAGTGCTATTTTTTTCTTAGAAAATAACTTTAATATTCCCTACATAAATTAGAGCTAACAATAAATTTTAAATTGCTGAATAATGTTGGCTATCATAAACAATATTTCCACAAAATGACACTGACACAGAGCTTTCAGTGTAGTCATTGCATATTGATGTTCTTAAGTTGAGATGGAAAAATATGAAAATGAACCCCATATTCCACTTACAGGAGTAATACATTCATATTTGGGAATCTGAATACTAAAAGTATATGCTTTTATTCCCATTAACTGGGCACCCATACAGCTGCTATTAGGAATTATACATCTTTGATAATGGCCATTACGGACTAACAGTGGTTGCTAACTGCCTTGAAAAACTAGTTGTTTTTTTCTGACCCAGGAATTTCACCAATCACTGTAAATGTGATATTTCATTTGAACCTAAAAAATAAAATCACATAATCATAAAAAATATTTCAAAGAAGATTAATGGAAACAAGTTCATAATTTGACATAAAAACCAGTGCCAATTGGTCATAATAATAAGCTCATGCCAGCTGATTGGGGCTTTAAAATGTTCCATTATCTTTTACCACAATTTTGAGTATTGTTCAAAGTCTGGAACTAGGCTGTCATTAGCATGATTGGCTTAGTTCATACATTCCCTGTTGGCATGCAGGGAATTAAATTCAGGACTTCAATTGGAGCTTCCTTCTTCCTTAACTTTCCTGTTGGAAGGTGGTGTGGTGGCTTGAAAAGCCCTGGGTCCTGCTTTGGCAAACGGAACTCTTTAGTCTGTGCTGAGAAATGTCTTTTATGATTTGGAACTTTTTCAGGCGTGTCCAGGGCTCCTCCCTGACATAACTTCACAGAAGTTTAGGAGGATGCAGCGCTTCCTTTCCTCCTACAGTTCACGCACGCACTGTGAACATTCACTGTGACAGGCAGCAAAGGAACTCCGTTTCCCAAGCTCTGTCTCTGAGAAAAGGGGGACTAGATAGCAGAGTGATGGATGTTGTTTAGAAAAATACAGCAATTCTTTTATAACCCAATCTAACGCTCTTAGCACAAATGGTGAATATGAGACAACTTCCTTGAATTAGCACCAGTGCCTTATCTGGTCAATCTCATAAAAATTTTGCTTAATTGCCAGATCTTTTTCTTGGCTGTCGGAGAGTTTGGTAATATATGAGGGTCTAATTAACCTGATTATCTACATTATATTTAAGTATAAAGCCATAATAAAAATATAAAGCTTTGCTATTATTCATCAATATGACATATAAAAAAAACCTTATACAAGTGTGTGGCTAAGAAGCTTCTTGTTGGGAAGTCAAAGATTACTGTTTGAACCAGCTATTGAAGTGCATATTAACCTTCGATACAGAGGTATCTATGGAGGTTATGTTGGCCTTCCCTAAGTGAGACATCAAAATCAAGTAAAATCTAGTTTATAAGGTTTATTTAATAATCTCAAAATTTATAAGCTCTTGACTCTTAGACACTACTTCTTATTAGAGCTAATGACCGAGTGGCTTGATAACTCGGGTCTTTGCGTTCCTGATCACAATTGCATGGATTTCCATGGTGCCTGAGCTTCAGCATTTACATCTCTTGCATGACTACACAATGCTATTATCCCAATTTCAATTACTGGCCTACCTTATAGCAAAATATGTTGGATACTTTTCTTGATATAATTTTGAAACTGGAATTTGAAAGTACTTTTTGTCCCACTGAAAATTTCTGTTACACCACATGGCCCTTTAAATAAATTGCCTCTGTAGGATTTTTTTTTAAAATTAATATATTAGTGAGAACATAATATTTATCCTGGCAAATGAAATGGCAAAGCCAAAGTTAGGTACATGAAAACCACTGAAAGGTAGTTTGGTTATTTTTATGAGAGGCAAGCAATTGAAAGGACTCAAGTGGACTATCAACAAACGTTTCAATAAAGTCAGGAAGCAGGCTATCAACACTCGGGCTGTTCTTATTGTGTCTGTTATCATAATTGACAGGTTGACGCAAAACCCTATCATATGACTCCTGGGTAGGTATGTAAATGGATAAGAGGTCACTTTTCACATATGCTGGTTGGGAAGGAAACACATTTAAAGGAAGTTTCAGTCAAAATAATGGCTATGCAAATGTTTAGTTTTTTGGCTAGTTCTTACACACACACACACACACACACATATACACACACACACCTTCTATGGTCTGTCTTTTATCATTCATTCATTTATTCAATTACTTTCCTGGTTATCAAAGGCTAATATCTCAAAAAACTATTCTAATGTAGACATAAAAATGTAATCC